TGTTTAAATAAGGTGTGTGTGTTTGTTTTCACCTGTATTTATTATGATAAAATTTTATGCCTGAAATGTACAAAGTCATTGTCGTCATAGTATAAAATTCACAGTTATTTTGATACTGATAACACCTTTTACTTACCTGGAGTATATAATTTTGAATAAGTATTGCCCAATTTTGGACATCCCCAGCCAAAGTTCCTATGCTTTGCTTTTCTTCCTCTGGGTAGGCCTTATGGGCCACTGGTACCATGGGGAATTTTAGTAAGCATAAAGCTATACCAACTAAAGTTACAAGGAATGTAGATGTAGTCATCCTGTAGTTTTGCTCCGAACACACAGGTTGGTAAGTGAGAGAAATCATAAAATAAATGTTGTTTTTTTTTTTTAAGAAAAGTGTTTATTGTTGGTAAACAGTTTTGGCAAAGTTCTGGTAAATATTTTTTTCCCTGATATTAGTCTTTATAAAAAATGTAATTGGATTTTGTGTAGATTTTTCCATAATTATTTTTATAATATGCCTGTTGTTGGTTAATGCTGATAGTCCTGTATTTTGTTGATATTGGTAGAGTGATAATTTCTGATGTTTTGTTCACTGTATTTCAATCAGACTGCTATTTCTATTTTTTTTTTTTTTGTTGCTATCACCATATTATAAATATTTTTAATTATACCTAAAATTATTGATAAGTAATGAGGTACGTTTTAGTAGTTGTCACATGCAAAAAAAAAAAACAGGGAGCTTTTTTCATTATGGTATTCTTATAGATTTTGATCATCCTTTTTTTTTTTTTTATCTATCATTTCTGTTTAATTGCTTCATGGTCTGCAATGGAATCCCAAATTCAGGAAAGGTGGGAAGACATTTATTATTTCTAGAAAATGTCAAGCATCAAAGAGTGAATGGAAGCACCAGATTTTGGTGTTGTAAAATTGACACAAATAAAGAAATGTCAATGAAAAAATAGATCCATAAACAAAAGTCCAAGATTGGAATTCCACATTGAATTGTTTAAAAAATAACACATGATAATATGAAGGATTTAGTATGAATGAGTGAAAAGAAAAAATATATATTTGTATATTAAGGATATAACTGATTTGAACATGAGTAAATACACAAACACACATGCATATATATATATGTTTGTATTTTTACATATAGAAAAATATATTTATGTTATGTATGCATATATTTACATATATATATGTATATATATACCTGAAAGGATCCAACTTCATGGAGAGATATAAACATATTATATGTCAATGTGTTTATATATTTAGACAAGATTCTTTGCAGTGTGGTGCATAGTTTTTTCTTAAAAGGTTTTTAAATATCTCATCAGTAAATCCATGATGAAGATAGCTTTTTTTCTCTCTTTTATTTTGACAATGATAATAATGATGTAGGTATTTTATGTTAGTAGTGTCTGCTATGGTGATCGAAAGGCTGCTATCAATGGTGTGGCTCTGTATATTAGCATGCCTAGTAGACTCCTTCCCTAGTAGCATATAAAGAAATGTTGTGTAGAGTCTTGGAAACCAATGACAAGTTAGTCTGTCTTGGATTCTGTATGTTTAAATTCCTTCATCTTGTAAACTGAGATAGATATAATTATTTTCTTAAGTCTTTCTATCTGCCAAGCAACATCCATTGGCTGCGATCACTTGGCATTGATACAGATAAGTGCATTTGAGTCTTTCTATGCATGTGTGCATGTGTGTGTATCCTTATTGGTTCTGTAAATCTTATTGAACTTCTCCCTCTCTCACCTTCTTCTCCCTCCCTACTGTCTTCCTCTCTCTCCCCCACCTTCTACTTTATGTAGTTTTTTTATCTTCCTTGTTGTTTTCTTTCTCTCTCTCTCTCTCTATCTGTACCTGTCTATGCTACTGTCTCTGTATCTGTAATTTGATGTGCTACTATGAGCCTCTCATTCACTCATCCTCTTCCTCCTAACTCTCTCTTTCTCTCTCTATTACTCTTTCCTAGTCAATTTTTCCCTTCTTTTATTTTCTTCCATTCTCCGGCCTGCTTTTTTCTGTCCATCATTTTCTCTATTGTCATTCTCATTATTTTTATAGCTGCATTAACTTTGTTTCTCACCTGACTCACACTATATATTTGATTTTTCGTTTTTTTTAGTTTATTGTCTGTATTAAACATAGTATATATCTCTATAAAATTCTTATATCTCATAGTATATATATATATATATATATATATAATGAGACTATTCACTGTTCCTGTTCCTATTCTCTACATCCAATCTGGTCAAAAATACAATGATCAGTAGAATAAAATCATTGTCAAAAATGGATTTGTTACTCTCCTCAATGCTACAAAAATACAGGACTATTTCTTCTTTTGCTTGTACTACTGTTGCTTCTCTCTCTCACTCTCTCTTTCTACATAAGAAACAGACAGGGAATGATGTTGCAGCTACAAATAAACCAACAATTGGGAGGGAGAAGGATACAAAGAAAGCCATGAGTAAGGTGGGGTGTGCTCCCTGACTACTTCAACTGCTACTATCATGACTACTGCTATTACTGCTAAATGCATGCCGGCATTATACAGATTATGATTTATACAACGACAACATGTGTTGATTGTTAAGCTACTACTGCCAACCGCAACTACTACTTTGACTATTACTGTCATCTCACATGCTACTATTATTATTAATATTATTTTTAGTAGTAGTAACAGTAGTCATCCTGTTGCTGTTACTGCAGTTATAAAAGCAGAGATGGAAATAGAAGTATGAGTGGGGGATCGTTTTTGACTGCTATTGCTGCTTTACTTGTTGAGACATTATTGATGTCACCGTAGCCTAATGAATGGTCCTGTTTGAATATTTTTTTCTTCCAACATTAGAAAAAGGGGTTATTAAGATGATAATAGTACATGAGTATTTTTAAGTGAAGAATTTATGGATAAGAACTAATTTTCTAAAGTGGCATTAAAAAAAAGTTTGAATGAACATATTTTAGTCTAGAAATTAATAATAACAATAACAGCTCTGGATATATCTTGAATGCAAGTGTTTCAGTTTTGTAATTTTGATTTTAAATGCTTTTTGTTTTTTACTTTCAGTTTCACTTTCACTATTGTAAAGTTTTATTGTTTATCTACTATTTACATGCATTGAAGAAGAATAACTATAATAAATTTAATATTTGTTTCATTATCTCTTTATTTCAAACAGAAGAAAAATTCTAAACAAACAGATCTTTTATGACAACAGAAAATAATATTGCTTTTTACATTTTCTTTTCAAGAGAAGGTTTTTATTTCTTTTTCTGTACAAATTCATATATTAAATAATCTATATTTTAATGATTTGATTTCTGATTGTATATTTGTTACCATAACACAGCAAAAACAGTACATCATATTGCTATTTTTCTTAGTGCAATACCATTAAAATGTTTTAGCATGGAGACTAAAGCAATTTCCATTTCAATCAAACCACCAATTTCTGAGTAATTTTGAATTAATTAAATAAAAATTGATAAAAAAATATCTGTCCAAGAGAAATAACTCCAGGTTTATCAAATGTTAATCACAAAGTGCTTTACTTGAGTTTTTAAACAAGTGAATGATAGGAATAAGCAATAATTCTTTTAACCAGTCTGAACACTTCTCTATCAGCCATAGTGTCATGCCAATAGCCATATTTTAATAAAAAAATTAATAATTAAACTTAATAATAATTATCATTATAAATTATATAAAGAGGAAGTGACTTGACAAGGACTGGAGCCTGTGGAAAGTAGTATTAATAATAATAATAATAATAATAATAATAATAAAAAATACCTTCATGCATGATTGCAGTTCATTTACAGATCCTAGTTGCAGGAGGTAACAGCATCACTACACTATAATAATGATCCCTTGTTTTATTTTCAAATTGTATTGGAACTTTTGCTTGCTAATATATATATATGTGTGTGTGTGTGTATAATAGTATCCAAAACAAAGTGGAAAATTTATTAACAACATATTTCACCAATAGCAGCTGCTCTCTTTGCCTTCCTCAGGCTAGAATGAAAAAAATGACAAAACTATATGTGAGGAAAAATACCTTGGGTTCTCTGAGGATAAGTGTCAACCATAAATCAAATCAAATGACATTACTTTATCACCTCCAATATCCAGGCTCAAGACAGTACCTGCCCACCTGTTTGTTTTATCCATATCTATATTAGAGCCTTTGTTGTTGTTGGATTTTAAATAAGTCTGCCAAAACTAGAGAGTGTTTTTTTTAATTATATATTGCTTATACATGCACATACATACACATCCAGGCATATACACATATTAGAGCTTTTTTTGTATACTTTTGCATACATATACACATACATACCAACTCATGTATACCTGTGCATACATATATGCACACACATACATGTATATACACATTATAGGTCAACACCAAGTGGTGGCATTGTGTTTCATGCATGAACATAATCTTCAGGCCATGTTTTGTGTTTCTATTTATATATACTAGTCAATGATGCATTATGGGTACTAACTATTGTATTATCCTAATGGTTATTGGGTGGGCAGTACTGACTATTTTTCCAAATATTCTAAAGGCCACTGAGTAGAAATAATTGGGCATCCAAATGCAGTTATTTGTAAATATTTTAATGTTATGTTATGTTTTACTCATTATTTTTTATTGATTATGTAATTATTTGTTGTTGATTCTTATTATTACCTTTACTTATTTTTATGTATACATTGTAGTCTCTTAATTTGATTATTATTTACTTACTTTATTTCTTTATATTTTTTGTTTATTTCATCTTTTCTCTGGTGTTGGATATCTTATTTGTTTAGTTTAAAGTATTGGTTTTGTCTAAAGTATGTTACATTATCTGCATTGTATATAGCATATATATTTGAATTTATCCTGCTGGTATTTTACAAGGTATTAGGAGTTTTTTTTTATTTTTAAATAATGTAGTAAAAATTTGTTTTATGTCTGCATTTTGAGACAAGTTCTGATCATTTGTTTAGCAATTTGTGTTGGTCTTGGAAAGAGATTATTACTATTTTCTAACACTGTTCTGTTTTTAATTTCCCATATATATTTAGAAAGCAGTGTGCTGTTCATGTATTTACTGTTTGTAAAGAATGTTTTGTGTGCATAGTTTCTATTTTTCCAGAGTCCCTCAGTTACTCCTATGTATATTTTTCTTCATTATCTACTGATTTTACAGTTGCTTGATATATGATATTGTTTTGCATGAAATTGTCATTTAAAGGACATTCGTTTTTTGTTCTGCAGTTACAGCTGGGATTGATTTGTGCAGGTGGTTTGTTGTTTATATTTCTGTTGTGCTATATTTTAATTAGTGTTATATTTTTGGTGCAAACATATGATGTTTCTTTTCCTGTTGGCTTTTTTGTACTGCATGGTATGTATGTCAGTTTGCCAAAATTTACTTTTAGGACAGTTACCTTATCTTATCTTTTTGGAGCTTTGTTGAAGATGGTTTCATTGGAAGATTTGTGAGGTGCCCTGCAGTTAATTGATTGTGGTATCTGCTTGATTTTTGTGAGCATTTGGAAGATGTATTTATGTAAATTGGTTTGCCAATGGGGTTTTCTATATGGTTGATATCTACTTTTCTCAGGTTGATTGTGACATCTAGGAAATCTATTTATATTATTTACTTTGTTTGGACTGTTGTCCTCATCTTTATTGTCATATTTATGACATTTTGGGTCATTGTATACACTAACCTTCTTCAGAAGAATGGAATTTTGAACTGAACCCTTTATTTCAGTAAATTGTTCTAGTTCCATGCTTCTTCTGGATGTTTCAGTTATCTCTCTTTAACTCACCTCTCCAAGATTTTATTCACCACTGCAGTAGCCAGCTGTTGAAGCATAGAAATAAATATAATAAGGGAACTACTAATACAGAATGCTAGAGAAAAGCAATAACAACAACAAAACTGCAATATGTGCTTTGGCAAAAATGGTTACTGAGACATTAAGCTTATAAGTCCCAAAAATTCATATGCTGATGTCCTCAAGGACACATGGCCCAGTGGATAAAAGCATTGGTTGGATCTAATGACTGGACCCAAAAAGTCGGCTACTGCGGTTGGTGAACAAAAATTGGAGAGGGGAGTTAAAGGGAGATAATAGAGACATCCACAGTGGGTGAAATAAAGTGCTCTCTTCAAAATTCCAATCACCTGAAGAAGGCCAGAAATGTTGTTAATATGACAACAGTCCGAACAATGTAAATAATTACAATACCTCATCTCAGAAATATAGACAGATATTGCTAGGAAATCTACTTCTTTTTTTTTGTCTATGTTTTCATATTGGTAGCAATAACATGAAAATTTGTATCAAAGTAAATTTACAAATTTATATTCATGTTGATAATAGTATCATCAACCACCCAACTTATTGTCAGTTTCCTGTAATCAATACCAGAAATAAATAATTTATACGTTTTACTTACAAAAACACAAGATGACTGGTGCTGGTATTTCAGATATATCAAAGAGAGACGATAAAATGCTTTCAGTGAAAAGGTAAACATTCTTTACTTAAGAAGGAATAAAAAAAAAAGTCATAGAACTCCGGTAAGAATGAATCTCCTATCCATTACATAACTTTTATTACAATCAGTCAGAAGGAAATTACTTAAAAAGTAATTGAAACTCACCTGAAAGCAAGCTGATTGTATAATGCTCCTCATGCCAGTGACACTTCCACAGAGCTTCTCTACGGCATATGATTTCATTAAATTTTCATTTAAATTTTGGGTCATCAGGAGAGAATATGCACCATTTCGGACCTTCCTCTCAATGGTTTCACTTGCATACCAGCCTCCCCCACTGATGTGAAGCTCCATTATAATAATATGCTAGTTTAACTAGTGTATCATACATATACTAGTTCAAATATCCAATAGTGAAATTAGATTTACAAAAAAATGGCAAACCTTGCTTGCGTTCTGAAAATACAATGTGAACCTCATTACATATTCAGGATCAGGTCATGCTGTCATGTTTGCTGAAATGCACCACGGAATATTTCTTTTCTTCCACATCCACATAGAACTATTTTCAGTTACCTCTATTAGGCATTTTATACTTTCGGCCCTATTAAAGCATTTGATTCCAATTTGGCCCAGAAATTGGTATAGGGTGCCTGCAATGAAGCCCCTTGCTTCAATTTCCACTGCTCTAATAATTGCATTATACCCTTCATTTACCAGCTCAGTTTTTAGATTTTCATATTTATTTGTTTTATATTTGTGGCTTTGTTCCATCCGGCTTTCATATGGTACTGTTAATTCTACCAGGATGATTTTACACTTCACCCTTGATAGAAGAACAATATCTGGTCGCAGACTTTTACTTGATATTCTTTTAGGGTAATCATTACACCAACCAGGAAGGTCTGCAGATATCTCCCAAACACCACCAGAACTAAGGATATTTTGTCTGGGTATAGCTAGATATTTGCTTGTTTGCTTTGAGCTGATGTATATTTTTCCTTCCTCTGCAACAAATTCCTGGGTTGAATTAGATGACTCAGACTTTTTATAGTTCTTTAAAATTCTGACCACCTCATCCAAAATACTATTGTGTCTCAAGGTATATCTTCCATTGACAAGAGCTGTTTTACAGGAACTAAGAACATGTTCTAATGTTTGTGAATTTTCCTTACACAGGGGTCAGGTTGGATTGCTTTCTTTCTTCTATTTAACAAGATTGTTCTTAGATGATTGCAGGTCATATGTGGAATGTATTAAAAAACTCAACCTGAGAGGAGCCATCTGCCAAATGTCCTTCTAAGTAATAGATTTTTGCAGAGCCTACTCCCAGTTTGTCTATTGGCCTTGTTGGGATTGTTGTACTCCTTTTACAAGTCATTTATTATCTTCTTCAATCCTTACATTTTGGATGACCATATCTTGGCAATCTTTACCAGACATTTTCGACCACCACTGACTTTTTATTTAGTCCTAACCTTTGTTTTCCTATTTGGGTGTATCATATTATAATTCTTGTTCTTTAGTTTCTTTGTTAATTATCAAGTTAGTTAGCATGTATGTTACACCCTGCCAATAACTGCCAATAGACTATTCCATTTTGATTACAAGGAAAGATGGAAAAGCTATATCAGAGATGCTGTTTGGTTTCAGTGAGAAAAAGAAAGAAAGAGATAGAGAATGTGATAATGCTCTCATTCATTTAATGTCCACTTCAGTAAAAATGGGTTAATTTTAGACCTTTTCATTTGTACCCTCTTACATCTTTAAATAATGACCTGTATTCATACTTTTGATTGTTATTGCATTATTTGGTTAAAATTTTTATGCTCAAATATTTAACAATGCAATAGGGAAATTTTCACAGTTATTTTGTAGTTATGGAACTCACAAGAACCTTATTTATGCATTAAATTTTGTGATACCACAGAAAATTCAAATAGGAAGCCCACAACATTTTCACAAGTACTTCTAGTTGTTATAATTTTTATATTTCATTATTATTTATCCTTGTTAATGTCTTATTTATAAATTAAACTTGATTATAGGTATGAATGCAGAGAAAAGGTTTGCATATATAGGGTTTTGTATTGCCACAATTTCAGGTAATGCCGATAGTAGATCTTAGAATGCTGAACTTATAGATCAGTGAATGCTAATGCAGCAATAAAGTTTGTATGAGAAAAATTTTTTCCTTAAAAACTTTCGTCGATGGCACCTAGACTTTATGAATTTAAGCACAGGCTAGATTGGCAACAAGGTCTCATCATTTCTTTGCTAACTGTTTCTTTTCTTATACTTCTCACCTGTGGAACTCTCTTTCGGCTTCTTGCTGTCCAGTCAACTTTGATCTTCAAAAAATTTTAAATGCAATTGTTATCTACTGTCATCTTGATTCCTCTTCTTTTATTGTTATTGCTCCTTAAGAATGTTTTCTTTTTCTTATTCTTTCATATTTAGTTATCCCCTTGTGTTTTAGTGGCTTTATTACTTTACTTGGTGTGGTGCCTCACTTTTCTCACTCCACTTTTTTCCCAAAATTATGATGAAAGAAATTCTAGTAAAAATTACTAGCTGACAATGTTTTATCTAATAAAAATGATAAGATTACTATTAATAACAATAGTTTTTTTCTTCTATGTGCCATGTCTCTTCAGGGCATTGATGATCATGGCTCTCCCCAATTTCCTGTCTTCTGTAACTCTTAATAAATTTTGTCTTTTTGTTATTTCTCCTAAACCTTGCTCTGCCATCCATTTACTCAAGTTCACTAAGAAGGTTATGCATTGTTTTCCTCTGTCCCTTTTGCCTTCAGTCTGTCCTGTGAGTATCAAATTTTCCAAGCCCTCTTTTCTCATTGTATGTTCCATAGAAATTTCAACTATATCTGTCTCTCTGATGCTAAGTATAATTGTCATTTCGTTTTCATTTTTATCTAAAACCTTATCGGTGCTCATATGTTCGGTCCATGGTATTCTCAGCATTATTCTGTAGAACCACATTTTTTTGGCTTCATCTCTTTTTCATCTCTGAGGAGATTGTCCAGGATTCATTGTCATATAGGAGGACTGATATTGCATAACAGTTCAGTACTCTTTTCTTTGTTTCTAATAAAATTTTTATTTTTTAATTCAAGTTTCTGATTATCAGCTATGGAATTTTTGACTGTAATTGAAAATTAAATAATAATACTGATGTAAATAAAGCAGTTAAAATTAAGATGAAAGAAATTCTAGTCAAGAATAAACAACTGACAATGTTTCATCTAATAAAAATGATAATATTACTACTAATAATAATAATATTGATATAAATAAAGCAGCTATAATTAAAATATAATTTATTTAAAAAATAGTGAAATAATAATTATTCCAAAAGAAAAGTGTAATAAATTACGTATATAGAAAAATTACGGTAATTAATAAAAAAAAATCGAAAAGAATGAAGAGGGGATGAATGACAAAATATTCAGGATAAAATCAGGTGTAAAATGAATGAATGAATGAAAATGAGGCAGACTTGAAAGGTGAGAAAATGAGGATGAAGGTATGGCTGCCAGGTTAAGGTACTGGGGTAAGTGTACAGAGGTAAATGTTCAAATTGGTGTTCAATAAAATAGGTCAACCTGTGTCTGCAGCAGGGAGGCAAGACTTTGATTAAAGAACAAACGAATAAGCATACATTCCTTCACAAACCAGTTGTCCTCTCTCTTTTCTGTCTCTGTGTTTGTTGTTTCTTTCCTTATTTCTGTCTATTTCTCTTTCTGCTGCTGTCTCTCTCTCATTCTCTGTCTCTTTCTTCTCTATCTCTGTTTTTGTTTCTTTCTCTGTCTGTTTATCTTTGTTTATGTCTCTCTTTTTTCTCACTTTCTATTTCTTTCTCTGTCTCTCTTTCTTCTTTTGTCATGTTCTCTGTCTTCCTTTCTCTCACTCTTTACAAACATCTCTCATTTTTTTTTCTCTTTTTCTTTATCTCTCTTACTATTTGCATCCATTTCTCTTTCATTTTTCTCATGGTTTTACTCCTCTCTCCATCTCTGTTCATACCCATCACTTCCTCATTTCTTTCTGATTTCTCCCTTTCTTTTTATCTATTACATCATCTTTTTATTCCCTCTTTCTCTTCTTGTTTATTTATCTCTCTCTTTCAATCTTCCTCCTTTCACTCATCTCATTTGCTCTCTCTTTTTCCACATTTTTTGACTTCACCTATCCCTCTATATATATTTCTCTCTTTCTTTCTCTATCTTTTTGCTCACACCATTTCTCTTTTTAGTTTCTCCTCTTCTTTTTCTGTCTCTCTTTTTCCTCTCACTTGGTTGATATAATTTCCCTATTTCTCATTTTGTCTTCTCTTTCTATCATTCTGTCGGTTTTTTTTTTTGTTTTTCTTCTCTTTTATTTCAGGTATTATTAAAATATTTTGTTACCATAACAATGATTTCTATTAAGACCTGTAGTGAGTCCTGATAAAAAAAATAAATAAAATAAAATATGAAAATAAAATATATAAACAAAAATAAAAAGAATTAAAATTAAAATAAGGCATTTGCACTTTATTTTAAGACCCTTCTTTCTTTTTTCACTTTTTCTCTCTTTCTAAACTTCCCTCTTAACTAGTAGGAAGACAACCTTCAAATAAAAAGAGGAAGAAAAGACTGAACCTGGCTGAAAAATGTTGGATGTTTGCAAGATCAGAGCCTACTTATTTGTGATTGAAAAATACAAAAAAATCAGGGAGGCTCCATGCATAACTTCCATTATAAAAAAAGAAATGAAAAAGAAACGAACACTGGAAAATAATTTTGACCAACAAAAAAAATTGACACAAAGAGACTTTTGATGTTAGCTGAAACCAATGTTCAAGCCAGAGTCTCAGAGCCTGGTCAAAACAGATAGAAGCTCTCACCTCTGGGCTAAAAGCAGAAGAGACAAGCAAGAGTGGCAAACAGAGATGCTACCAGCCATGTGTGACACATGAAGTAGTTAAGAGGTCATCTGTTAATTATATTTTTGCCCTTATTTGTTATTCTATAGTGCCAGTCCATAAGGTTCAAAGAAGGGTGGACCTCAGTTAGACCTACAGGTTTCATTTGCTCTGATGCAATTTTAATCATTGATCTGAGAATGCAGTTGTATACAGGTGACAGTTTAGATATTTCTGAAAGAGTCATATGAAAGGCTTGATCTGATGAGGCTATTTAAGAACACGACTCAAGTTTTTAGGTTAATGTTTTGGCTTTGTAGCATTTTGCAATTTTGTACAAAACTACTCCTAGTGCAGTCTATTCTCTGTTCAGTTTCCTTATTTCTTGTACTAAATTTGCTATAGCTGATCCATTTGTTATTTTTTAGCATTTATTAATTCCACATTCTGGATTTTTATGATGGATTCAGATTAGGTGCCATTACTGTTTTCATTCTAATTCCAGATCATAGTTTCTGTTTTGCTAAAGGTTTATCTTGAATCTTTATTTTTGCTAAAATAATGACTATACCAATCTAATACATTCCATAGTAGTATAGGGAAAAATCAAAGATAGTGTCAGGTATATGCATTAGTATCATTCTTCATTGCTTAATACACTTATTTGCCAAAATAAATCATAAGTAGTCTTTTTAGGAATTTATAAAAGTAACTCTTACAGAAATATAGGTAATATTATATATAGGTTTAAATATACAAACATGTAGTGAATTGATTATTATCAAAAGGTTTGGGGTCATTTTGAAAGAATTGATTTATTTATTTATTCATTTATGGTTTATCAGCTCTTTGTTGGTTACTTAAAGCAAAAAATACTTTGTATTGTAGGTGATTTCTTACAGTACCTGACATTCCCAAGCGGTCCACCATCTAAATACTCACCGGGCTTGACACTGCTTAACTTCAGTAATCAAACAAGCATCAATGTTTTCAGTGTGACAACAGTAGACTCATTTGGTAAGAAAGAATTGGCAGAATGCAAAAAAAAAAAAAAAAATAGCAAAGTACAAGAATCATTATGTTGAAGATATCTCCTAGCATGCACAGGTGGAAAACCCCTACAATCTGAAGAAGGCTGAAGAGTAGACAGCTGAAACATGTTTGTTTTTTTTTCTTTTTGCCATTAAACATTAGGTTCACCTCCTTGATAAAATGCTATTACAAGTATACTTCACCCTATGTTATTAATTGGTTCCAGAAGTCATGACTTATGTTGAAAAACGACTTAAGTTGAAATAACTACACTATAAACTGCAAATAAGCACTCCTTATTGACTATTACAGTATTTATGATATGGATGTACAGTATTCTGAATAAAATAATTAATTTCCACCTTATCTTCTAGCAATATAGACTTATGCTTAGAATTAGCACTTGGACTGGGACTTTTCTTTGGAGCCATGGGCAAAAATGTATTCTAAATCATGATTGAAATGTAATTGAAGGAACATCCATGGCAGAGCACAAATGTAAACAAGTCTGAATTCAAAATTCGTGTTGGAGCAGAAAACAACAAATGAGTGTCACCTGTTGGCAGGTATTTGAAATAATATCTACTGAACATATTTTTTTGTTTTTGATGATTTCATGATTATATATATATATAATACTATTTTATATTTGTTTAAATAGGATTTTATATGTGTTTATTGTTATTTTAGTGTTTTGACATTTCTAATATTTTTAACGGCCAAGGTAAACTCGAATAAAATGACCTAAGGAAAGTTTTATTTTTCCATATAATATGAAAAACTGACATATCTTCGAAAATGACTTAACTCTAAATAAATTAAGCTGGGGTATCACTGTTTGGTCAAATTCTGATTGTGACTTAATATGATGTTCACATGTATGTCAGTCTGGATGAATATGTGTTTCTGTATGTACATTTTTGTTTGTATACATGTATGTTTATAGATTTTCATAGGTGTATATTGTATTTAGTCGGTGCATGGTTAAGTGTTTATAATGTTAGCATTCCAACTTTGAGACCCAAGTTCAAATCTTACCAGGGTCAATTAGTCAGGAAAGTGACTTCTTTATAATATCAGCCTAGGAAGACAATCAAGCATGTGGTACCATTTAGGAAGTACCTGGAAATCATGCCACTCATTTTCAAAACCTTTTGAGTGAAATGGGGGTAGATGAAACTGCTTGGAAGCCACTGATAGTTATGCTAACACAAATTCACAAGTCATCATGACTGAGGGTTTTAGTGTGCTGGCTCTGTTTAACTTTTGAGCTTTCCAGATTGTGTGGTTTCTCATAGAAACTGTAACTATAATCTATTTGGCATTATAAACTCATGTGTTGGCTCCGTGGTGATGAAGAAATGCAAATTTGCCTGAACAGCTGTCTGCAACAGGGATTTGTTAGACACCCAAGTAGATGAGTCATATATTTGTATTTAAAAGTCTCCCTGAAAACAAAGCATGTTTGTTATTCCTTTTTCTTTCAGCTATTCCGTGAACTACAGTCTTATTATATCATGGATATAATAATGCCCAAATGGGAGAATAAATACTTGGCTTGTAAGTGCTTTCCCAGATTAAAAAGAGAATACGTGTACAATTCCTGTTGGAAGCACATTTTCTTTAGTAGGATTTTTTATCTCTCGGTAGGTAGACATTGATTTTACTCTTCATAAAATAAATAGGGATGTCTATTCAAACATGTTTACCTAGTAAATATAACATTTATAGTAATGAAATACATGTTGTCATGTGCATATATCAGTTGTGTGTATTTATGTAGATATTTAATAAGCCTGGAACTAAACTAAATAAATAACAAGATTGTGCTGTAACCAGTGACATGCAGATGTTTTGTGATGCCCGAAGCCAGTGCCTTCATTGTCTGCCCCTAAGACTCAAGTAGCGGGGCCTGTAGACCCTAATAATGAGAAATGTGAGAAAGGAAGATATTTTAAATAAGTAAAAACAGATGAAACATGAAATAATCACTTTATTCAAATTAAATATAAATTAAATTTTTAGTTCACTCTTTCATTGGATGCCTTCCTGAAATGGATGCCTGGGACTATTGTATCCTCTGTACCAGTCTTCTAAAACATTTCTTAGTTTCACCAGTTCAGACTATAACAGTTAAGACCTGCCATACCATGTATACAGAGCCAAATCATCCTCATTACCTTTGTATTCCATTGGTAAGGAGGAAGTTTCATTTAGACTGATTCTTCTAAAGAACCACTATTTTGTGGAACAGATTCCCAAGAAGGTGCTTTCCTAATAGCTACAATCTTAAGCTCTTCAAATCTAAGATAAACCATTATCAATTTTCAATAACCTCATTCAGTAGCCCTCTACCTCTAATGGCTTTTGTGCTTTGTATTGAGTGAGCAACAGTTAAAAAATTTGAATTAAAAAAATGTTGATGGTCTGGTCACTATTAAAAATCAACATTTGAAATCTTGGCTTTTACCTGGATTTGAACCCTGAACAGTTCAATGAGGAGGTAATATGCAATGACTTCAGATAGAAAGTAGGATCTTATCTGTACAGGTACTGGCTACTATCTTTACAGATATACATACAGAGGCAAGAATATACAGACCATCATGTAAGATATAAAGAACACTACTTATTTCAACAGAAGTAACAACATCAGACATAGATATTTCACAAATCCAATTCCATTGTTAGTGACTTGTGGCTGATGAGGGAACAGAATGCCAAGATAGTGTTATCAAAGTAAACAGATTGTCATACTCTGAAAACAAAAGCCAACACCATTTAATGCTACCAACTCTTCCAGTACAAACAGAAATAATGAAGCTGAAGTTTTGATGTTGTTATTCTTAACATAATAATCATAATCTAGATTTTCCTGATTGTTTTCCTCACATAAATATTTCAATATATGATCTTATATATAATATCTACTGGAAAATTTCACATTACAAAAACTGATAACATTCAACAAAGGATGTAAAATTTGGAAAAATTTACATTTATTCTTAAAGGTTTACATTCTTTGTTATGAATTCATTAATAATAATAAATAAATAAAATTTTTACTTATCTCTACTCAGATTTTCGCAGATTCTGAAATCCCCTCATCAGGAGACAAAAGTGTTTTTGATTCATTTTCATGGGGCAAAAAATTATTTGAATTTCTTTTTCTTGATGATGTTAGTTTATGAAATAAAATTATTTGAATTTAATGTGATTCTGAGTTGTATTTTGGATATGAATGTGCCATTTATTTCTAAATAAATAGTTAATTTAGTAAAGTGTTTTTGCTACTTATAGCTTATTAGATATTAAAAATACTTGACTTTTCTAAATATGATAAGGATGATTGTTCTGTTTGTATTATTG